TAAGAGACGTTTTACGTAGTAAAAAGTTTAATATGTTTGTATGTCTAGATTGAATTGGCTTACCGCCTTGCTCGTCCAGCATTACGAGGGTTTTCATCCCGACCTCGTGGCTCTAAACAGGCAACCGACCAATCAGCGGCGTGTTAAACGTGAGGAACAGGAAGAGCACCGTCGAAACGCTCCCTCGCTTCGCTCCACGAGACACATTTTTTTCTTTCTTTCTTTTTTCGCGTGTTTCCCAGTTTCTTTCATATATATATACATTTTACACATTTTATTTCTTTTTTGTCTTTTTCCTTTCTCTCTACGTAATTCCGACGCTAACCAACGAGGAATCGGACCACCCTTCTGATCCGCGAGCCTTTTTCTTTCAATCCAGAGATCGACGACAGGCTCTAGAGAGAAGAAAAAAAAAAGGGATGCGCAAAGAAAGTTCTGAATCGAGCCTTCTCTCTGTTTATCTCTGCTGTCTTGTCTGTCGCGTCTTCTCTTCTCTCCTCTCCACTCTTCGGCTGTTTAACTTTCTCCCCCGTTCGATCCTATTATACGTTCGTTTCTTTCTCTCCGGGCATATTTTTTCTCAGCCGAGGAAGTCGGATTCCATCGTCTGGGTAGCATTCAGAGATCTTTTATCACGCCCGTCCTCCTGATCGAGATGCATCGGAGGAGCGAGAGGGTGCGTACGACGATAGTTTTTATCCTGATTATTAATTCTATAATTGCGGGTCAGGCTGCTGGAGGACCAGGATATATTTCTTTTTTTTCTTTTCAACGTGACGTTGTTAGCGAGCAGAATCGACGAAAAGTTGGATTTACCAACTTTCACGCGAGAGGAGAACGTGGGAACCGGAAGACAGGCGTCTTGAAGATAATTAGACCCGTCGAACTGACGGAGAATCGGTGAAAACGCGAAACAGAGATCATCTTCCGCCGGTCGCTCCTCTGCTTCGTGTCGCTATTTAACAAGGTGAAACAATTGAAACACTCTCTCTCTCTCTCTCTCCCTCTCTCTCTGTCTATAAGCACAGAAATGAAGAACGAGACGAGAAGAACGTGAAATTCGAATCAACGAAGCGAAGAAGCGACGGGGATGATAATTTCGTGGATGAAAACCAGTTGGTAAATCCAACGATTCCCAAGGGGGATCGAACAATTTCTACATTATATTAACAGGATATATGTATATACAAAATTAATTAAGACACGTTGATCTGTGAAATTTCCAAGAGCAAAAAGATTAGCCAGTTAAAAAAAAAAAAGTGATACTAATAGCATTACTTAGCGATTACCACGCTCTAATCGTAATATCATCGAGGGTATACACATCACGAAAAAAAAAAGGGGGGAAAATATTGAAGCTCTCTCGCCACGTTGTTCGGAGGAGAGAGCTGGATTAATCGACGTCTACTACGATCGAGAGTATATTAGTTTTAAGTGAAAAGAGGGAGAGAGATGATACGGAGATGAGGGAGAGCAAGATGGATGTATTTCTATAAATCGGTGAACTGAATCGAAATTGAGAGGTGACACGCGATGGTGGGGCGATGATGCGAGAAGTCGAATGTTAAAAAGGAGCAGACAAAGGCGTAGAAGCAGATTAAAAAGGAAGAAAAGACACGCTTCGTTTCCAGTGTAGGCACTACCAGAGTACCTACATACACGTGGCGCTGTAAGATACAGAATTAGAAGGTTGTTTTAGCTATAGGACAGAAAAAGAGATCAGAATCAAGAGATAATACACGCGAGTTTTTCAGTTCCCGACCAGACACCGGTTAAATACACAATCTATTCTAAAGTCCTCTGTAAGTAGTAAATGTACATCGTGGTGTTATTCGTCAATGTCCCTTTAAAAAAAAGAACGAGTTCTTTATCGATGATTATCTGTGTTTCACCGCGAACGACTCGATTTATCTTCGAAAGCGGAATTCAAGTGTTGTCCCCTTGTTGAAAATGGTATTTCCCCCGGGGAAATTGAACAACTCGATCGACAGAGTCTACAAATTGATATTATCACGTCAATTACGAATCGAATATAATGCGTGTCAAAGTGTGTCCTGTTACTTTTATTTCCTCTTTTTTCCCTTCTTTCGAAAAATCAGTCCCGTCAACCGTGCAAAAGTGTACCAAGTATATCTCACTGTCCTATCGTCTGTTCTTTCTAGAATAAATAATCCAAAAAAAAAAAGAAGAAAAAAATCGTCTGATCATTTGTAAAAAAAAAAAAAAAAAGAAAACTTTGTTCGTCCGTACTTTCTTTTCTTTTTTTTTTTTCATTGTTTCTCCCATATTCCGTTCCATTTCTCGTCACTTTGCTCTCGCCTTTCTTTTTTCTTTTCTTTTGTATACACATTCTCGAGATTCATTCTTCGAGAATTTACGTTCTTTTTTTTTAATTTGTTGGTTTGTTTTATTGCTGAGGGAACTGCTTACCGCCTTGATGGTCTAACATCGTCAGAGTGTTCGCTGCGACCTCCTCGCTCTACGACAGGGTCGAAGGGCCCACACGTTAACGGAAATGAAAGATCGTTCAGTGATGCGCGTGAACAACTGCGAAATTAAGTCAGAGACAAACAAGCAGACCGCGGGCACGCCTTGCTACATGGATCGCAAGTTTTCTTTCTTAAGAATACCAACAGAAAAAAGGATGTTTCTCGATGACGATCAACTACTCCAAAAATTACTTCTCAAATAGAATACAAAATGGAGAGAGAGAGAGTGACAGAGAGAGAGAGAGAAAGAAAAAAAACGATACTATTGAACGTCGTGTGACAAAACGTGCCGGGTTGTAATCAAAATAAAAGACTCCATACTTATCTACGAAAGAAATTAATTTCTGCCCAAGGTGTACATTCGTTACCGTACAATTACCGAATCTTTCTAATTAAAAATTTTCATCCAATTAAAGACCAAAAAATTCATTATCACGAACGAACACCTTGGGCGCGATGGTACAAAATTATAAAAGGAAAACGTACACAATGAGTACAATGGTAAACGACGTAAAAGACAGAAAAAGAAAAAGCGTAAAATGACGCGGAGGAAAAGAAAAGAAAACGAAAGAAGGATGATATAATGACGACGAGAGATCGTAGCTAACTAAGAGAGCGAAATAAGTGGAGAGCGAGTTACTAGGCTAGATTTACATATGTATGTCTGAAAAAAACTTCCACACGGCGACATCAACGTGATACGTCTGCTTGCACCATGCGCATCGCACTTTTTTCTAAGGTAAGAAATAACGTAATATCGCAAACAAACGATATGTATTATACAGCGTGCCCTATAAATCGCGGTACAAGTGAAACGAGGACAATTCTGCCACTCGAAGCAAGTCGAAATTACAGAATAACGTTTCATCCCGCGAGGCTTCGTTCTTCCAAAAAAAAAAAAAAAAAATCACTTTGAAGATCGATCCTTAAGTACAGTCGACGAAAAGAAAAAAAATACTTCGAGGTCGTAAATTCTGCTCAAGCGTGAAAATTTGCATATCGACAGAGAATCCTGAGACGATAAGAGCTCGAAATCTCAGTCAGTGTCGCTTAAACTATATCTCGCAGCTTCGACTCCAGCTTTCAATTCGCAACCTCGCTGTATTTCTTCCGTCGACTATACGCACCTCACTGACAACTAGCTTTGAAAAAGTTTAACATACAAAATGACGCTATCGCGACGCGACACAACGTCGCAGCAATTTCCAACTCTCGATGGTTCTCAAATGATATGCAAACAAGGCGGCGAACACTCGACAAATATCATTCGAAGTGATTGTTCTTTCTCTAAAAAGAAAAACTCATCTTCGTAACGCAAAAAAGTTGTTCCGTCGTTTCGACTTATTTCAAACGGTGAAATCTTCCTTTGCTCCGCTTGTACCCCTAATTACAGCCCACGTTGTACGTGAGTAATACCGATTTGGCTGGCAGCTTCGAAGATGAGAAATATACGTAGCATGTCTACGCTTCGGAACTCGTGCTATCGTATATACCCGGCTATAACGAATTACAACAATACTTCATTGTTTTTCTCTGTTAGTTCTCTCTTCATCGTTGCTTCACTATCAGGCAAACGAAAAAAGCCGCAGACGAATCGCGCGCTACTTCGGTCGGAACGCGAAATCGATCGTCAGAAACTAATCGCACTATCGCATGTATATAATATGGAACGATTC